AACAAAAGGTGGAATATTAGACAGTGTTACTTTTTTTGAAGGTGTTGAAAGAGGTAGAACCGGTGTGAAGAGATTATTTATAACAATCCCTCTTTCCACTAATTCATTTGCACTCTCAACCGACTTCAAAAAAACCACAACAGCACTATTCATTTTAGACGCTGACAAAATACTGTCATGCCCAACAACTTCTCCCATTGCCAAACAACAATCTTCAACACTCACCGCGGACGCCACTTTAACACCGTGCCGCCGAGTGAGATTCTTTAAGACACCAATTCGTGAGTCCGCCATGGCCACGCAAGGGGGAAACCCCGCGCGACCCAAAAAAGACCAAAAACAAACTTAATCAAAACAAAGAGTAAAAAGATAAAGTGAAAAAGAAACAAAGAAAAGAAAAAACAAAGGAGAAAAAAGAGAAAGAGAGAAAAACTCACGATACTCCACACTCCTCGCGCTCACGCTCACGCTCACACCGGAAACGAGAGAGAGAGAGAGAGAGAGAGAGAGAGAGACTTTGACTTTAGATCTTCTTTAATTAATCAATATTAACATATTTTTTAAAAAACCCTTAAAACATTCATATTTTTTAGAAAAAAAAAAAACAAAAAAAAACTGAACACTCATAAATTTAATACAAAACCACTCTGATCATCAGCTTCACATAAACACCATCAATTCCCCACACATGAAAAAAAGAGTTAACATCATTTATGAGGCTAAAATACGCAAATTCCATCATTAATCTCTTCTTTATAAAACCTCTCATCATCAAAACAATGTCCACACTTTCCCTCCCTTCAACCTTATTTCTTCTTGTACACCAAATTGCCAGCTTTGCTGCACCAAACAAGTAGTTTAGTAAAACCACTTTGGATTTATATTTTGCTGTATATTTGGGACCAAAAATAAACAATTCTCGGTTAAACTTTCCCATGAGCTGTAAACTCCAGCTTTCCATAAAACCCAAAATTATTCCTAAACGTTGACACTCAATAAAAAGATGAAAAACAGTTTCAGGTACCCCACAAAAAGGACAACCCTCATCATCTGAGACATTAAGGAGTGCTTTGTGTCTGTTAGTAGCCAAAATCCCATGCACAATTCTCCACTGAAGATCACCCACCCTTTTCTCAATGGGTCTTTTGTACAGGGACCGCCAGCTACCTTTCGGGGAAGAGCCTGAATCAAACACCATTGTCCATGTCTCTTACATCCTTAAGATGTTGGAAATTTATAGTTTTTACACAAGCTCTATAAAGTGTTTGTCTGCTCAAATTGCTAAAAACATTCAGTTCTGGTATCTCCATTGAAAGCAACTTTCTGCCATCTTCCTGCCAGTCTTCTTTTTTTATGGAAACATGCAGTTCAGGAAAATGGGCATTACCACCATCATAACAGTTCTCCACAGGGTAAACTTTCATGATATCCCTTATGGAACAGGGAGGACCTCCTCAAGATCCTCCAACATCCTCTTGATAAGCCGTTCAGACCTGAAGCCCACCTTTTGTGCCAGTTCCTCCACAGATATCCAGCTCAGTCCCCTGCGTAGATGGCAGATTTTGGATACTCCTGCTTTCAACATTGCCGATCTTACAGTGGCAGAGCTCAGCAACTCGACAGAGATACAAGGATTGAAAAATAAAGGCTCTTCATATATCCACTGATTGGATCCTTCCCGTTCTCTTGAACATGATAAAGTCTGCCAAGCTTGCAACACACTCTTATAAAAGCCCACCAATCCTTCCAATGCTAGTCCATCCAAGGACATGACGAACCATTGCTTATCCAACCCCATTCTTCTGTTTTTTTGCAGCAGAGCACATGCTACGTCCATCCACTGCTGATGCTGACCATATAAAAGACGCTGTGCCACTTGCAATCGGAAAACAGCAATCCTTGACCAAATGTCAATTAATCCTTGTCCTCCCTAATGAACTGGAAGGTATAAGACAGCAGCTTTTAGCCAGTGTTGTCCTGACCAAAAAAATTTAACAAGAGTCTTTTGAATATCTTCAATTATGTTTTTTGGAGGGTCTAAAACCATCAACTTGTGCCAAAGGGTGGAAGCTATAAGATTGTTGGCTATCAGGACTCTTCCCTTGTAGGATAACTGGGGTAGCAGCCATTGCCATTTAGACAACTTTACAAGCACTCCTTCTACTAAACCCTCCCAGTTCTTCATCTTGCATTCATCTTTACCAAGATAAACTCCTAAAAATTTAAAACCAGACATCCCCCACTTCACATTTCCTGGTAATTCAGGCAAAGGGTTTCTTTCACACCCACACCATAATGCCTCTGTTTTTTGCCAATTTAGTTTGGCTGATGATGCTCCTTCATACATCTTTAAAGCTTCCTTTATAACTTGAACATCATGTGGATTCCTAACCATTAGAGTAATATCGTCTGCATACGCAGAAAGTTTAATAGTGTCAGCTTCTCCCAACATCCGCTCCGAAAGAGAGAGAGAGAGAGAGAGAGAGAGAGAGAGAGTCCCGTCTCACAACTAAGTATTGATCTCTCTCCCTCGCACATATTAATCAAAATAAATCAAGACGATGGCAAGGTCGGAAGACTAAAGTTTCATGTGGATCATTCGGAGATTGATTTTTTTCCTGAATTGCCGCTGGGTGGGAATATACGTTGCCTTATCTTCTCTGAAAAGCGTTCCACACATTCAGCTGACATATAAACCACACTTTAAATAAACGAAAAAAATATCCAGTGATAAAATGTTTTCTGTGATGACACAAATCTTGTGGGATGTCCTAACTGTCATGTGATAATATCACAACGCGCACACATCCGATAATGACATGTCCAATTCGCAAACTGACTCATTTGAACCGATTCATTTTAATGAATGGTTAAAGCCTTCCTACACTGAACTCACGAGACGTCTGAATCGGTGTATAACTAATCGATAACACTTTACAATAAGGCAACCCTGTTTGCCCCCGCGCACATATTTAAAATCAGCTTGTGTGTGTGTAACATGCTGGGAAACACAAGGTGGTAGAGTACATGTACAGGTAGGCTATGTTATTGAAAAAACAGAGTCGCCTATCCATCGCTACTGTAAAGTAAAATAAAAAAAATATAAAAAAAATAAAAAATAATTTCCTTTCTATCCCTTGCTGGGAGGAAAAAAAAAAAAACCTACCAACCCATGACCTCAACTGACAACCAACCGTAAACAAACTTTCTTTTAAAAAATGTTATGCCTAATATATATTAATCTTTTTTTTTGGAATTCTATTAATTGATTTTCAATCGGTAAAGCTTGAATTGTGATACAAATGTGAATACATTTTTGTGCACACCACTAATATTAAGTGTCCCCAATTAAGAAAGACAGAGGCAACACTGGCAAGAACCTAAACTCTATCAGGTGACATAAATAGAGAAAATATCCTATAGATATAACAGCTTTACACAAACATGCTTCAATTTGTCTCGGAAATTTGTCACTGTATAAAAAACACTATTGTTGAGGAATTTGTAGTTTTTAAAGGTAAATGTTAGTTTAACTCAGCCTCTTTGCTGTATATGCTGTTTGTGTAAAAAATAAGTGGAAAATTTCATTAAAGGAGCTAAACGCAAGTCTCTGAGTTTTTGCAGAACTACGCCCCCTCTGGCAACAAGCGAAACTGCAACCAGAGCTGTGCACGTTCATGGAGGAACACACACACACGCACGTTTGCACGAGCTGTTCATAACCTAAGGAGCATTAGCCGCACACTGTGCGGCACACATCTTTTGTTACAGTCATAATGAGGTAATACAGTAATAAATCTGCAAGTCATTTAAAATATATGAAAGGAAAGGCATTTGAGTAAATTACACACTTATGTGTGTGAGAGGGGGAAACGGGGGTAGTAGAAAACTTCGGTTTTTGTTTCCATCTATCTCCCTGTGCTTACTGTATCCACTTATGATTGAATTGTTATGGAAACACGTTCAGTTATCACTTTGTATAGGACCCGTTTGAGCCCTAGAGCAGACCGGAGATCTCTCCGTTTGTTGAAAGCCGTCCCGATGTTGACTCTCGTCTTATTCCGACGCCTGGCACTGGACAGACTGAAGTTTATTTTCTTTGTCTCACGCGGAGTTTGCGTTGGGGTTTGTAATGAACTACAAGCCGGTCTCTTTCCGCGCCATATACAGATATGAAGTGCACGTCACCGAAAGCAACAGATATGAGCTGGATTTTATTAATCATCGGCTAATTTCAAAGACAGCTATAAGAGAGATCGGCAACAGGCCTGGTAAGATCAATTCATTTCTTTACTTTTAATGAAGATGGTAGTGTTAAGCATCTGCGACTTACTTTCACTTTGATTTGCGATAGATTGCGGCGCGCTGCCTTGCTCAGCTCAGCTGCTCATCTGAGGTGATGCGCGTCGTCATATGACTAAAATAACATGACATAACCTATAGCTTGGTTTCAACAACCAGATGCATTTACACTTGTCCAGTTTCGTCTGGAATGCGGCCCAGACCACGTCCTCAAGTGGTTTGAGCGATCGGATTCATCCGTCTCTAACGCGTTTCGGAGGGCATTTACACCCTGGTCTTTTCACGATCGAATAGCTATCCGATCACAGAAAACACATGAAGTGACCAGGTGTAAACAGCCCCTTTGAATCCATCGTCTACTTTTGTGGAAAGCTGACTAGAGTTGTGTCGCTCGAGTTGTCTTCTCTGATACGGAGAACGGCGGCGAATAGCTACACGAACCTGCCAGACATAGCCAGGCGAGCGTGAACGCGCATGACATCACGCCCAGTCTCAGATTCAAGCCCGAATCCCTCTTATATATTTCACTGTACAGGATTATAGAGGCAATCTCAGTGATCAGAGAAGGGCTCATTCAGCTCATCAGGCGATTGTTTAAGCATGTATGGGTTAGAAAACGGCTATTTTTAACATGAAATGTTGCGCAATGCACCTTTAATATTAGTATATAGAAAATGTATTTTATGTGTTCAATCTAATTCTGTGTTGTGACTTTATTGTAGGTTAAATGATTGTAACTTAACAAACAAAAGCTGTTCAGCTCTGGCTGCAGTTCTTGGATCAGACACCAATCTGAAAGAGCTGAACATGAACTATAATAATCTGCAGGATTCAGGAGTGAAGCTGCTCTGCACTGGACTGAAGAATATAAAGTGTAAATTGGAGATACTGAGGTAAGTTGAGCCACAGGAGTCACATGACTAGAGTGAGGTGCAATGACTGACAGGACGATGCCGGATGCAAACGCGCAAGATAACTTTTGTGAAAAAGATCTTTTATTTATTTGTTACAAACCATGTCAATCCTGCCATTGTGCTATTTTATTGGTGTTGTGTATAAAGGATTATTATGCTCTTAGGCAGAGGAGGAAGTAACGAATTACAACTACTCAGATTACTGTAATTAAGTAGTTTTTTCGTGTACTTGTACTTTTATGAGTACATTTTTAGTCTGTAATTTTCCTTGTACTTGAGTACAAATTAAGTTAAGTAATGTACTTCACTACTTTAAAAATCCCATTAATTACAAAGTACTTATACAATTTGAATTCAACAATTATTCAAATCTTTGACCAGCATTTGGGTATCCAATGGAAATAACTGATCGTGGGCGGGCCAATAAAAACCCTTGTATTTGGAGCGGGAAAAAAGCCCTGTTTCTGGAGAGCTTTATTCGTCCTCACATGTCCTTCAGTTTGTATTTTAGTGTTATCAAAGAACTTTGCCGTAATGGACATGGAGATTCGAGACGCTGATTTCATTGAAAATTCCGAAGAAATACCAGATGACGAGTGCCCATGACCCCACATGGAGGAGTTGTTCTTATACAGAGGAAGGAAAGGAGACGTTTTATAGAAACTTTGTTTCTGCAGTGATATGTGATAGTTCAGTTGTTTTTGTTTTTAAAGTTGGGTAGACCTCACGATAATTTGACTAAAAACATCACTTGAAACATGAGCTTCAGCGTTACTCAGGTGACAAGCACATATACCGTAATAAAGATTTAGCATTGTAAACTTAGATTAAAAAGTTATATTGTATGTCATTGTCAACACATTGTTTTATTAATATTGAATCCGTGTTTTAAGCTTAGAATGAAGAGTTTAATAATGACTCTTTCATAAAATCAGTATCTTGCCGGCCATGACCCACTGGCATAACAGTGTAACTGCACTGATTGTCAGTCTGTCTAGATGGCACATTTGTGTCAGTGCTAAATGCTGATAACTTTTGAAATATTAGTAGGGTCCATTTGGAAATCGTTATTGTAAAAAAAAAAGAAAAAAAAGAAGTTTATAAATAAAATACCCCAATAAGCTTATTTATTTTGCAGTATAATTCATTAATAATAATAATTATATTGGACCATTTTTATAACTTGGTTTCCATAAAAGTAAATAAATATCACAGGCTAAAAGTAATTAGTAATTAGTACTTGAGTAGTTTTTGAGAGGGGTACTTTGTACTTTTACTTAAGTACATTTTTAACACCAGTACTTTTGCTTGTAATCGAGTATTATTTTAGCAACTACTTGTACTTGTACTTGAGTACAAATTTTCAGTACTCTTTCCACCTCTGCTCTTAGGGCTAATTAATAACCGGTGGCAACCACCAAAGATTGTCAGATCAGAACAGTAAAGGATGTCCGTTTAGGAGGAGCCAGATGCACACACCACTCACAGACCACCAGAGCCGGATTAACCATTAGGGCAACTGGGCTTTTGCCTCAGGGGCCCATGACATCTAAGGGGCCCTGGGCACCAGGGGCGGAGTGGCAATCTGGAGAGTCGGGAGTTTCCCCTGTGGGCCGGTTGTGTTTCGAGGCCGCGAGGGCCGATCTGTACCTAGTCGACTGATCGGTACCTAGTCGACCGTTCTCTGAGATTTGTTTTCATGATAATCGGACCAGCGGCCCATAACAGTGCAGAAACGCGTTGGAGTTAGCATGTATTGGCTAGCTACAGGTGCGTGCAATGACGTGCGGGTCGGATATATGTGACCTGGCCGTTCAGATTGAAGTCGCATTTGAAAAGATCGGATCCATACAGTATCGGATTTGGACCACATACCCAAGTGGCCTGGGTCGCATTTGAAAATATCAGATCTGTGTCGTTCAGACTGTCATGAAAAAATCAGATACAGGTCGCATAGGGGCAAAAAAATTGGAATTAGGTCATTTCAGCCTGCAGTGTGAACGTAGCCTAAGGCATAAAAAAATAAATGTTCGGTTCCAGTCCGAACATTCTCACAACTAAGTCTTGCTCTCTCTCCCTCGCACATATTAATGAAAATAAATCAAGATGATGGCAAGGTCGGAAGACTAAAGTTTCATGTGGATCATTCGGAGATTGATTTTTTTCCTGAATTGACGCTGGGTGGGAATATACGTTGCCTTATCTTCTCTGAAAAGCGTTCCACACATTCAGCTGACAAATAAACCACACTTTAAATAAACAAAAAAAAAACAGTGATGAAATGTTTTCTGTGATGAAACAAATCTTGTGGGATGTCCTAACCGCCGGAATAATATCACAACGCGCACACATTCGATAATGACACGTCCAATTCGCAAACTGACTCATTTGAATCGATTCATTTTTAAGAATGGTTAAAGCCTTCCTACACTGAACTCACGAGATGTCTGAATCGGTGTATAACTAATCGATAACACTTTACAATAAGGCAACCCTGTTTGCCCCCGCGCACACATTTAAAATCAGCTTGTGTGTGCGTAAAATGCTGGGACACACAAGGTGGTAGTACATGTACAGGTAGGCTATGTTATTGAAAAAACAGAGTCGCCTATCCATCACTACTGTAAAGTAAAATAAAAAAAATATATAAAAAATAAAAAATAATTTCCTTTCTATCCCTTGCTGCCACTGGAGAAAAAAACAAAAAAACCTACCAACCCATGACCTCAACTGACAACCAACCGTAACCAAACTTTTTTCAAAAAATCTTATGCCTAATATATATTAATCTTTTTTTTTGGAATTCTATTAATTGATTTTCAATCGGTAAAGCTTGAATTGTGATACAAATGTGAATCAATTTTTGTGCACACCCCTAATATTAAGTGTCCCCAATTAAGAAAGACAGAGGCAACACTAGCAAGAACTCAAACTCAATCAGATGACATAAATAGAGAACATATCCTATAGATATAACAGCTTTACACAAATAATTTTTCAAACATGCTTCATTTTGTCTTGGAAATGTGTCACTGTATAAAAAACACTAATGTTGAGGAAATTGTAGTTTTTAAAGGTAAATGTTAGTTTAACTCGGCCTCTTTGCTGTATATGCTGTTTATGTAAAAAATAAGTGGAAAATTTCATTAATATTAGTATATAGAAAATGTATTGTATGTGTTCAATCTAATTCTGTGTTGTGACTTTATTGTAGGTTAAATGATTGTAACTTAACAGACAAAAGCTGTTCATCTCTGGCTGCAGTTCTTGGATCAGACACCAATCTGAAAGAGCTGAACATGAACTATAATAATCTGCGGGATTCAGGAGTGAAGCTGCTCTGCACTGGACTGAAGAATATAAAGTGTAAATTGGAGATACTGAGGTAAGTTGAGCCACAGGAGTCACATGACTAGAGTGAGGTGCGATGACTGACAGGACGATGCCGGAGGCAAAAGCGCAAGATAACTTTTGTGAAAAAGATCTTTAATTTATTTGTTACAACGTGGGTATACCATATTAATCCTGTCATTGTGCTATTTTATTGTTGTTGTGTATAAAGGATTATTATGCTCTTAGGGCTAATTAATACCCGGTGGCAACCACCAAAGATTGTCAGATCAGAACAGTAAATGATGCCCGTTTAGGAGGAGCCAGATGCACACACCACTCACAGACCACCAGGGCTGGATTAACCATTAGGGCAACTGGGCTTTTGCCTCAGGGGCCCATGACATCTAAGGGGCCCTGGGCACCAGGGGCGGAGTGGCAATCGGGAGAATCGGGAATTTCCCCTGTGGGCCAGTTGTGTTTTGAGGCTGCGAGGGCCGATCTGATCAAATTTATTTATTGCAAGTTGGCCATGCGCACTTGGGCCCCAAGCGAGGGGAAGATTTTTTTTTTTTTTTACTTTTTAGATAACGGAGTGTATATTTGCACTAAGTGCCTGTCTTTTTAGCAAAAGAAGCTTGTCACGAAATAGCTACGGTGGCGCAGGTCGTAGGGCTTGAAGCTTTTGATGCTCTCGACCCGAGTTCGAAACCGTCTTTTTCTGAACTCTCTCTTCTCCCTTTTCCCACCACATATGAGATGTAAAATGTATAGACCATTTCGCAAAATGTAAACAACACTGGTCCATAAGCACTTCCTGTTTCAGTTGTTTAACACTATATAAACGTTGGGATAAAGTACAACCAACAGAACATATACAACTGATTCAAAAAGTTAAACAAACATCTTTAAGATATTTTCTTTACATTTGAAATTAAGAAACCATTTACAAACTGAAACAGGAAGTGTTTCTGGACCAGTGTTGTTTACATCTCGTAAAATGGTCTATACCCTAACATAAAGGTCTCTAGCGCTATATTTTGCCAACAAACTAAAATCAAAACCATGATATGGCTTTGTGCCTTTATAAAACAGCACAAGACTTTAAAGGGGTAGTTCACTTAAAAAAATGTTTGCTGATAATTTACTCACCCCCATGTCATCCAAGATGTCCATGTCTTTCTTTCTTCAGTTGAAAATTAAGGTTTTTGTTGAAAACATTTCAGGATTTTTCTCCATATAATGGACTTCAATGGGAACCAAACAGTTCAAGGTCCAAAAGACACTTTCAGTGCAAACTGTTCAAAGGACTTTAAACGATTCCAGACGATGAATAAACAGGGTTCGTACGGGTGCTTGAAATCCTTGAAAATGCTTGAATTTTGATGTTGTGTTTTCAAGGTTTGAAAAGTGCTTAAATTTTGGATAAAATGCTTGAAAGTGCTTGAAATTGTAACTGTTTCTTTCACAACAAATACCTATCTGACTGAATATTTTGTTTATTAAATGGCCAAATAAATTGTTTGCTGCGGCCCGAGTGCGTTTGTTACCGGCGCCCCCCGCAGCGTTGGCCTGGTTTCACACTCAACTTGATTCGATCAAATTCTGGTGCGTTTGCGTGCATCTTACGTCATCACAAATGTGCACGACGCATGATAGAAAACAGAACACGGGTCAATATATTGTGTTGTTATTATGCGCAGCTGAGTGAACAACAGGTTTACTGTGTATTGCATTTGGCTCTCTGCAGACAGTGGGCTTCTAATAATTTGTTAGCCTGAGTCCACGCGCTATATGTGTGTGTGAATACACTGTAGACTTACTCTCGCTCGTATCCAAGATAAATAATCAACACTATCATCCCTTATACATGTGTTTTTATTTTACATCATAATCAGCTAAAAGTAAAACGCATGCACAGGTCACTTTACTAAGTGCGCACCCGAGTCTTTCACATTCACGCGAACCGCGGCATGGTTCGGGAGCAGCCGAACTCGGAGCACCTCCTCCAGGTAGTCTCGGATTCGGTACCTGCGGCAAAATTACTAAATATGCAGCGCGAATTATAAATTTCAAACTCTAAACAATTGGCCTCTGAACCAGCTGATAAAATCTTCATTTGATTCAATCCGTGATACAACCTGACACTCAAATGAACTGATCGCATTTTACTGATGCAAAGGACGCACGCACACACTGAGAGGGATCTCGGTGTTTCAGTGTGTACCCCGGCTGTGGTAACATATTAAATAATGACGCAGTTACAAGGTGTGTATAATATAGGTGTCACGAGGTATGGTGCAGGAGAGCAGGAGTGCAGGCGGAAGGAATAGGAGGAGTCCAGATTCACACTGAAGATATAATTTAATTCTGAATTCAGGCAAGGATACAGGGAAACACGGGGTAACATCAAACATCGACCGACAAAGACAGACTGAATGAGAAGGAACTAAATACACAGAGGAATCAAACTAAACGAGGTGCAAACAGGTGAAAATGATGATGACGGGACGAGGAACAGGTGGCTGATTGGGGAGTGAGTCCGGGAGTGGAAACAAAAGGATCCGGGGAGGTGTAGTGCAGATGACGGACAGACTGGTGCAGACGGAGGACTGTGACATCACTCCCCCCTCCCGGTAGGCGTGACTTCACGCCGTAACATCAATGGGGAGGGGGGGTGGGCGCCCTGGAGGCTGTGGAGGGCGTGGACTGGAGGAGGAAGTCTCCAGGGCGGAGCAGGACGAGGGCGTGACCAGGGCGGAGCAGGTTGAGGGCGTGGCGGAGCAGGCTGAGGGCGTGGCGGAGCAGGCTGAAGGCGTGGCCAGGGCGGAACAGGCTGAGGGCGTGGCCAGGGCGGAACAGGCTGAGGGCGTGGCCAGGGCGGAACAGGCTGAGGGCGTGGCCAGGGCGGAGCCGGCTGAGGGCGTGGCCAGGGCGGAGCAGGCTGCGAGGACCCTTCGGGCGGCCGCGGCGGTCAGGACCCTTCGGGCGGCCATGGCGGTGAGGTCCCTTCGGGCGGCCACGGCGGTGAGGGCCCTTCGGGCGGCCATGGCGGTGAGGGCCCTTCGGGCGGCCATGGCGGTGAGGGCCCTTCGGGCGGCCACGGCAGTGAGAGCCCTTCGGGCGGCCGTGGCTGGGACACTGGGCCCCCCCCAAAAAAATATTTGGGTTGAGTCCCCGGATGAAGGGCAGATGGGGAGTGGACGGTCTCGGGCTGGACGGTCTGGACGGTCTCGGGCTGGACGGTCTGGACGGTCTCGGGCTGGACGGTCTGGCCGGTCTCTGGCTGGACGGTCTGGACGGTCTCTGGCTGGACGGTCTGGAGGGTCTCGGGCGATGGCTGGACGGGGCTGGTTGGAACCAGCGGTGAGGGGAGCTCAGGTTCAGGAGAGCTGGACGGGACCAGCGATGAGGGGAGAACTGACTCGGGAGGGCTGGACGGAACCAGCGGGGGAGAGAGTTCAGGCTCGGAAGGGCTGGACGGAACCAGCGGAGAGGGGTGATCTGACTCGGGAGGGCTGGACGGAACCGGCGGGGAAGAGATTTCAGGCTCGGAAGGGCTGGACGGAACCAGCGGGGCAGAGAGTTCGTGTTCAGGAGAGCTGGACGGAACCAGCGGGGTGGAGAGTTTATACTCGGAAGGGCTGGACGGAACCAGCGGGGGAAGCTCGGCAGGGCTGACGTGGAGCTCAGGCTCGGCAGGGCTGACGTGGAGCGCGGGCTCGGCAGGGCTGACGGTGAGCGCGGGCTCGGCAGGGCTGACGGTGAGCGCGGGCTCGGCAGGGCTGACGGTGAGCGCGGGCTCGGCAGGGCTGACGGTCAGCGCGGGCTCGGCAGGGCTGACGGTGACCAGTGAAGATGAGGGTTCAGGTTTTGGAGTGGTGCTGGTGACTTCTTCCACGGAGAATGGGGATTCACAGCACACCAGCACCCACTCCACACAGGCGAGGAAATTGTCTTCTGGACCGCTCCCTGGGAGGCGTGCCCGGGACCGCTCGCTGAGGCTGGCGATGTAGAAAACACACAGCGAGCGGTCCGAATAGTGAGTGAGGCACGCCAACTCCAGAAAGTCCCTGGTATGGGACTCCAGGGAGCGGTCTTCCTGGTCCAAACAGAGGAGGCTTACCGCTGGAAGGTCCATAATTCTCAGTTTATTGTGGTCGGTCGATCTGTCACGGGGTATGGTGCAGGAGAGCAGGAGTGCAGGCGGAAGGAATAGGAGGAGTCCAGATTCACACTGAAGATATAATTTAATTCTGAATTCAGGCAAGGATACAGGGAAACACGGGGTAACATCAAACATCGACCAACAAAGACAGACTGAATGAGAAGGAACTAAATACACAGAGGAATCAAACTAAACGAGGTGCAAACAGGTGAAAATGATGATGACGGGACGAGGAACAGGTGGCTGATTGCGGAGTGAGTCCGGGAGTGGAAACAAAAGGATCCGGGGAGGTGTAGTGCAGATGACGAGACAGACTGGTGCAGACGGAGGACTGTGACAATAGGTGTGTATAACTGCTTAGTCAACATTAACAGTAGCTGCTGTTAGTGATGGGCAGATCGAGGCTTTGTGAAGCAATGAAACATTTGAAGCAAATGTGCTATATTGTTTCGAGGCTTCGAATCAATTCGACACCCGTCTCCATGGTGACACCTAGTGGTCAATTGCAGCTGTTGATCTGATACAACCTTTACAACAATGTGTTTTTTTATTATTGTATATAAAAAAAAACAAATATTGTTTTATTATTTTTTATTATTGTATTCTTGTTTTTTTATTATTGTATTATCATAAAATAGCACAAGACTTTAAGAATAGGCATTCTGTGTGCACTTTGCTCACGCGATCCTTCCCGACCGACCTATCAATCAAACCCTGATTCGGCGGAGCACTCCACCTGATGAAACACTTAGATGCTTCATTTAGCCTTTGTCACGTGACTCTGGGTGTTTTGAATCACGCTTCGGATCAGTCTTTCGAATCATTTTTGCTTCGGGATCTCGCAAAGCTTCGGAACGTCTGTTTCGCGTCAGCCATCCCTAGCTGCTGTACGGTTTTCATACTGCTGCAGTGCTCTCCTTCTAGTCACTTCTGAACTTGACACAACTGATTCTGAACGTCTCTTGAAAGCTCCAGGTGACGGGTTGCCAGATATCACAAAAAGAGCAGAACAAGCCCCTTAAAAAACGAAGTATAATAAGCAGACATGGCAAAAAATTAAACATAATAGTATTGCTAATATTATCCTACCAAATTAAAAGGAAGTTACTAAATTATTATGAATAGAATAGTTCAAAATAAAATATTTAGATATTATAAACTGATTGATAAGGTAAAGCAATAACATGAGATTGAAAAATGATCCAGCAACACTTTATTTAAAGTTTAATTGCACCTATGAGTTGTATTTAATATCAGTCAGTTGGGGGAAGTTCTTCTAAAAGTTAATATGTTTTTTTCACTATATTTAGCTATCAAAATAGTTTGCCAAATAAATTATTTGCCAAATAAGAGTCAAACAAGGAAAAGAACTTTTCATTTCTGAAGTATTTGGGTTTATTTAGTATA